TTTTTTAAAAAGATAGGGGTTTTTAGTAAAACATTGAAGATGATAGTGCGGATTGAGTGATGTTTAAGTTTGGACATTCTAGAACAAAAGTGGCAGTGATGGTGTATGTGCAGAGTAGACTAAGCCAATCTCCATCCGGATAGATCCCCATATTTTTTTTATATTTTATGTACACAAATGATACATGTTCAAGCTAAGCCTGTCCTAGCTTGAGCTTTGATGGTTTAGTATGTGAACTAGTGGGATGAGCTTGGCTTGGCATATCAGCTTGGGCTCATGACGGGCTGACCTCAGCTGGCCTGCCCTAAGATGGCCTGCTTTGTTGACACTTAGACATATTAAGCCCCTATTTCATCCTCTATATATTTTAAGACTATCTACAATTTGTTAAGGGATGGTATATTATGAGACTATTTATTTTTAGTACAAAGAGATCACACTTAGTTTGATCTATTGGATGTTAAATGAAAATTTATTGCAACATTCAAAAAACATTATTTTATATAGAGCCTAGGCTCTAAACAATCAAATTAGAGCCTACCTTCAAATGGTGTCGAGAAATGTGGTTTCAATATTGGAGATCCTTGTGATAGCCTCAAAATATATTTTCATATTTATTTATAAAGTTTAAAGTTTTAAAAAATAGTGTACATCAAGCAGATCTATGAAAATTTGAAAATATTGAAAATTGGCTGTCAAAAAATTCATCAAAACAACATTTTCTAGTGAAATTTTTGGGGTAGACTCCAATTTGATTGTTTAGAGCCTCAACTCTATATAAAATTTTCCCTTTAAATTTGACGGTCAATGATGATTGTGACCTCCCTGTTTCAAAAGCAAATGGTCTCAATGTATATATTTCCATTTGTTTAACCCCTTATTAAAAAAAAAACAAAACCTATTTTTCACTAGAATCTAAATAATATTGATGTTCTATTGTACAAACGAGACCTGAGACCGAATAACCATCTGATCGATTTTTTTTTTGTTGGGTAAGTCAGGGGGGGAGAAGGCCCCTTACCCATTTTTTGTTAAATTAAAATAAAGAAGATACAAATCATCGTCTTACAATCCTATCATAGGGTAATTAAACAAAATCATAAGTTAAAGACAAATAAATGAAATTTGTTCGATATTTTCATGCATCTTTTCTCCATTTCTATCATCATGGTTCTTACTTTGGCCTTTCTTTCTTTCCTCTTAATGACAGGAAATGGATATTTCACTGAGAGTAAACAGAGAAGTTCGTTTCTTAATCCTCCTCCCGAACCGAATCAGGTCCGCAGTCAGGATACTCCTATGCTGCCTTCACCACCACCACGTCAGTGAAGCCCGTAAATGACATGACGAAGTTAGTAAGATGTTAAAACAACAAAATGCAATGAATAGTTGTAGGGAAGAGTCAATGTTATGTTGTAAGAAAACTTAGAAATGTCTATTGATTTCAGGTCATTATTTGAATGAACTGTAAGAAAGACCTTCTTGAGAATAATATGGGCCTAAGGCAATGAGGTTCCATGAGAGTGGGATGTAAAATAAGGCCTAGTTTGGCAGGGCACTTGAACATTTTCATTCCCGTGGACAGCATACTGGAGACAATAAAATTAAGTATCGATTTCCAGGAATAAGTCAGGAAGGGTTGTTAATTCTAGATAATCCAGCCTCCATATGTCTGTGGTATCTTTTTTATAAAATAATGTTGTGACAAGATGCTCATATAAAAAAAGAAGTAAGGATATAAAATTATAGCCTTATGCTCATCATCCATCCCAACACCGATATTCAATAGTTCATAAATAATTTTATTAAAGTGATTAAGGTACTCATGGATAATCGTACCTTCATTTAACCTTAGGGTGTATAGTTGGTGCTTAAAAAATAATAGACTTGTGAGGGATGTTTGAGGGTTTATCTCCTATAGGTATTTTGATTGATTGTCTATAGACAATTATTTTGAGATATGAGTATCCAAAGAATTATACTTTGCACAATATGGTCAACTTTTATTTTGAGAGAGAGAGAGAGTCCCACAACCAAACATCATTTAGAGAAAATACAATTTACATCAAATCCGGTGCCTCGACCCAAAATCCAGCATATGCAGGCATTTTTCATTTTTCAGTGGTTGTTCATTAATTCCATTGACCATGAAAATGTAGATGGTGGATATTGGCATAACGATCCAAAGTTATTCATGTCAGAAATTTAGTACTGGTAAAAAAAATAGGGATTGTATATGTCGAGAACATTTATTTTTGTACATGGAGGTCACAATTACTTATAACTATCCGACGTGAAATCTAATAGCTTGAAGGTATCATAAAATTCGAGAAAAATTCTTTTGAACTGTGAACTTGGTCAATGAAATAAAAGCAACTTCCTAATTTTACATATAATGATCAAGATTAATTGTGACGACCATGTAGTAAAGGTAAATGGTCTCTTTAGATACTTTTCTCATTAAAAAAATGATTTCATAATATGAGACTATTTATGTTTTTTACACGGAGTTCCCCTAGCCATTAGATGTTAAAATGAATGGCTTGAAGTGTATCATAAAGTTCAAGAATTTTTACTTTTGAACTTGCAAGTCTGTCAATAAAACATTCACAACTACCCAATTTGAAATCTGACTAACAAGAGTGATGGTGATCTCCTTGTATTAAAAGTAAAGGAAAAAGTTATATAAAGTTGCAACATTAAAATATAGAACTACATATGCACCTAAAATATCCATCGAAAAAGATTGTTTTAATGTTGAAAAACCCTCTAAGTGATCATCTCGACATCGAGATATATGAATATGAAAAAAAAAAAGATTTCGAGTTCCAAAAAAATAGTGCATCTTGCAACACATTTTTTAGACCGTTCATTTTCGAGATTTTCATATGTTTATAGATCTACTTTATTTTATCAATTTTTGGAATTTAAAATTTTATAATTAGAGATGAAATAGATTTTAAGATAATCCTAAAAAAAAAATTACATATTATGATAAAATTTGGAGGTGCGCTTTAATTGGATGGTTTAAGTTTGCAACCTTATAAAAACCACACGTCTATATTATGTTTCCCTTAAAAAAAGAAAAAAGGAAAAAAAAAAGAAAGTAGCATCTATGTTTTAACGCTAATTCGAGGGAGCAGAAATTGTGAGTTGGCTTACATTCACCGCAGCACAATATCTCACAAGTCGGAAAAGTGGGTCAAATTGGCCACCCACTGGTTTTGAGTTGCACAGGTTCACTTGGTGAGTGGTATAATATATCACAAGTCCGAAAAGTAGGTCAAATTGGCCACCCACCGGTTTTGAGTTGCATAGGTTGACATGGTGAGTTATCAATAAAAGTAAAGAAAAAGAAAAAAGGAAAAAATAAAATCTGGGATGAAGAATCACTGAAAATGGAAAATATGCAACATCAAAATTTTAATTTCATTTAATAAAATTATAAATAAAAATCAAACTAATAAACACATAAATTAAAATAAGGGTGCAGTTTGTATATAGTCGAGGCTTTAAAGAATCAAAATAAAGCGTACCATCCAATAGTACAGAGAAATGTGGTTTCAATACTGGAAATATTTGTGATAGCCTTAAAATATATTATCATCTTTAATTATAAAATTTAAAGCTTAAAAAATAGTGTATATCGAGCAGATCTATGAAAACTTCAAAACCTTGCAAATTGATGGTCCAAATATGTGTTACAAGATACACTATTTTCAAAACTTGAAATCCATTTTTTTTTTATGTCCATACATCTTGATGTCAAGATTATCAATTTGAGGATATTTGGGCATCAAAACAACCTCTTCTAGTGTTATTTTTGAGGTAGGCTCTAATTTGATTGTTTAGAGCTGAGGTTCCATATAAACTTTTTCCTTAAAAATAAATACAAATTCAAAATGAGAAAGAAAACACAGATTTTCATCTTGCTATTTCATCTTGGAGCTCTAGATTAAAAAAAACAAAAAGACAAAAAACTCAAATTTGAACTCTCTTTCTCTTCAATTTTTTATTTTTAATAAAAAAATTGCTACGCCGATAGAAAAGAAGGTTCCAAAACTATCATTTTCATAATAATTATGTGATTTTTGATGAAGAAATGAGGAATGAAAACGAAAATAGTAAATTAAGTTTCACGAAGAAAAAGTGTTTCATGTTTGTTTTTAAGTGCCTGGTTGTGGGGATACCCAAACTTGCGCCTCGACTCCAAAAGATACTCGAATGTCTCCGAGTCGGCTCGAGGATATCTAGAACGCTATATGACCAACCGGCCCATCACTTTTTTGGTGAAAATCAGATAACTTTAGGTTTAGAAGTTTCCCCAGGTGGAGTGGCACAGGTTGACCGGCCACGTCCTGAGTCTAACAGGGTCTGGGTCCAAATCCATTTTCTAGACTTGGCATTTGGCAGGTTGGGTTTGGGTCCAAATAACTTGACCTGACTTGGGTTCGGCTGCGTCAAGGTCCGACTCCTAATACGGATTAAACACGATCTTGTATAAAATATATATCCTATGCAATTATAATTTTTAATTTTTTGAAAAATAATTTTATACCCAGTTCAGGAGTGATACGGTCAGCCTGGTCGAATAGACCGTTGCGACCCTTATCCCCCAGCTACCATACAGACCTTTGAATGACGCCCTTCTTGCGTGTCTTTTGATGACTTCTAAGGAGAAAGAGACTGCAACCGGCAGTGAGAAAGATCACAGTTGAGGACCTTTCAATGACATTAAAATGAGTGTTGTGGGGCTTAAATGAGGGTGAAAAAGAGTTATCAGCATTGACATTTCAATGAAAACTACCAAATTGCATTTGGTTGACCAAAAGACTTGCTCTTCTTTCATGATAATTTGGACCCATGCCAGTACATATTAAAAATTGAACTATAAATAGTTCACCATTCGAGCATTTGCAAAAACCCTAAGAGAAAGAGAAAGGACAGAGAATTGAAACAATAGTTTCAAGCATTTTCCAAAACCCAATCACAAAGAGAGGGAGAGAGAAAGAGGATGTTGTTTAAGTGGGGTTTGTTGATTGCAGCACTGGCCTTTTCTCTAAGTCTTTCTCTCTTGCCTAAAGTGGACTCCAGGCTTATTTATGAACTTCATCCTGGTAAGACAATTTTCCCCTTTATATTGAATCTTGCAACATTTTAGTAAGTAAATAGATCACTTTTTTTAAGGTCTCGGACCATATGAACTTCCTCCTCATCTTGGTAAGACAACTTTGCCCTTTATATTGAATCTTGCAACATTTTAGGAAGTAGATAGGTCACCTTTTTAAGGGATTTTATACACTGTGATTCAAGGAGATCACATTTAATTACAACCGTCCAATGTGAAATTTGATAGCTTGGGTCTGTCACAATGTTTGAGAAAATTTCTTTTAAAGTTTGAGCTTGGTCCACGGAATAAATGTAGCTATTGAATTTCTTATCCAATGGTCATGATCAATTGTGCCCACTTTGTACCAAAGATAAATGATCTCATCATATACTTTTTCAATTTTTTTTGTTTCTAGTGGGCCACTCAACACTACGAATGATCTGCCTCTTATGTTTATTTTGCTTGAGATTATATTTATAGTGGAGCGCCTATAATATATACTCCCTTAGGAGCACACTGTACACTTACTCCCTCAGGAAAGAGTTCCCAAGGAGTTGTTCTATCTTGAATTTTGGTAACATACTGTCGAATCATTAGATGAGCAATTTCCAACAGAAAAAAAGGAATAAGAATCTAAGCTTATAAATAATTAGATATGGCACGCCACAAATTGCATTATCCATGTTCAATCATAAGGCCATTATTTGTTTCAAGTAAATGTAAAATACATATATTTCTCTTTTCTTTTTTTTTGAGGTCGGTTGCAAGGTTGTAAGGAATATCCCAAAAGTTGATGTCCAGGTAATACTCCTCCAAATTGGACTTTTCTTGAGGGAGTGAATAGACAACATGCTCATGTTGGAGCATATAATTATTTTGCCTTATAATTTTTTCAACCAATGCACAAGTCACTGCCAAAACTATAAATCATGTTCATATCTTACTCCTATGGTGGAGTTGTTGGGACATCCAAATAATGCCTAAAAATTTGGATGCCTTTGGAGTTCGGATTGCAAATTCCACAAGTGGAGTAAGTGCCTATAATTTTATTTGGTCTCTCTCTCTCTCACACACACACGTAGACACATAGAGAGAGAACACAAACCATATACAAGTCAAGCACAACTTTATAAACGACAAAATCTACTATACATATTCTACATTTTGTAATATAATATTTCTTTAAGTTGAGATTCCTATTGGATTGATACTAATAAAAATCTCATTTTTATACCTCCTTATGTTGTACAAGTAGTTTCAATGTCAAAATTCTTATGATTGCTTGAAAACATATTTCCATCCTTAGTTCTGAAATTTAAGACTAGTACAAATCAAGTAAATCTATAAACACTTGAAAATATTAAAAATGGATGGTCGAGATAACTTGTTGTAAGACTTGAAATTCTTTTTCTCTTCGTATCCGTACCTCTCGAGGTCGAGATGATCAATTAAAGAGCTTTCCAATATCACAAACACTCTTTTTTAGAGGATTTTTGAGCTGCCCCTTACTTTGATAGTATAAGGTTGATATAAAATCTTTCAAAGAAGAATATATTGTATATTCTTTATATTCTATATACACAAAATGGTAGGCCCAATAGGACATAGTTAAAAGTAGTGAGAAAAAAATTTGGAACATATAACTGCTAGTGGGGTCAGCTTGGCTTGGCTTATCGAATTGGGCTCATGGCGAGCTGCCCCAAGCCGGCTTGCCCTAAGATGGCTTGGCTTGTTCACACCTTGACATATTAAGGCCCCATTTCATCCTCCATATATTTTAAGACTAGTCTACTCTTTGTTAAACCCCTTATTAAAAATAAAAAACTGGTTTTTCACTGGATTCTAAATAAATAGGTAGAGTTGTTCTATCGTACAAACGGGGCCTAAGACTGAATAGCCATCTGTTCGATTAAGATTGAATAGCCATCGTTCGATATTTGCATTCATCTTTTGTCACAGCTCTATTATTATGCTTCTTACTTTGACCTATTCTTTCTTGCCGCTCAATGACAGTAAATGTACCGCATGGATATTTCACTGAGAGTAAACAGAAAAGAGATTCCCTTCTTAATCCTCCTCCTCCCCAACCGAATAGGAACCGCAGAAGGGATGTTCCTCCGCTGCCTCCACCACCACCACCTCAGTCGATCGAGCAACCTTCACCACTACCACCTCAGTCAATCATGTCGCCTTCACCACTACCACCTCAGTCAATCCCGCCGCCTTCACCACCACCACCTCAGTCAATCCCGCCGCCTTCACCATCACCACCTCAATCGAACACGTAAATGACATGACGAAGTTAGCAAGAAGTTAAACTAACTAAATCTAATGCATAATGGAAGGGAAAGTCGAGGTCATGTTAGTAAGAGGAGTAAGAAATGTCTCTTGATTTTAGGTCATTATCTAAACTGTGACAAAGCCATTATTAATAATGGATTAGGCCATCAGGTTCCATGAGTGTGGGATTGTGAAAATGTTGGCACTTGTGGGTGGTCATGGCTTCACATGTGTCATATTTTTTTTTTTTATCTTAATAATACATTTTAATATTTATCATTAAAAATGAGAGAGAATATGTCTTTATCAAATGATGATAACTACCCATCTCTTAAGAAAAGAGGACCACCTGCTAAGAGATTCTAAGAGGAAAGCTAAATATTACAGAACGGCCTCTTCACATCACTCTATAAGTAGAGTTTTCATGGCTATAAAGAGACACACATAGTTTTCAATTGTTCTAGTAAAACCTGATCTCTGTGATTCACAGTTTTATGACATTACCTTCTATTCTTGAGACTTTGGGGGTTCTTCTCTTCCCCCAAAAAGTTCAACAGAAATAAAGCTTAGTTTGAGAGGCACTTGAATGTTTTCATTCCTTTTGCCCCTTTATTGGAGACAAAAAACTTAAGGAAAAAGTTTACATAAGGATGCAACCTTATAAGGTAGAACTAGGGATGCCCCTAAAAAATCCATCAAAAAAGGTAGTTTTTATGTTGAAAAGCCTTTTAATTGATTATCTTGACATCAAGATGTACGACTATAAAAAATAAAAAGAATTTAAGTCTCAGAAATAGTGCATTTACAACATATTACCACACCATCCATTTTCAAGATTTTCATATGTTTATAGATCTACTTGATTTTAACCATTTTTGAAATTAAAATTTTTATAATTAGATATAAAAATAGATTTTAAGATAATCCTAAGAACATTTTACATCAAAATTATGTACCATAATAAAATTTGAAGATGCACCTTACCTCTACACCTACAGATGCATCCGTATGCCAGTTGCACCCTAAAATTAAATACCTAATTCCAGATAATTAGTAGTAACTTTGTAAGGGTTGTTAACTCTATCGCGCCTAAAAAAGGGAAAACTTTCTATTTGGCACTTCACTTATAAAAGATTTATGTAACTTTTGTTTCTCTTCCATCTAATATCGTCCCATCTTGATCAGGTGGTTGAGAACGTGTAAAATATTAAAGTTTTATTTTTGAGTAATGATCCTATAGGACCCTCCCCCACCCATGTACGTAGGACCCCAGAGGATCACCATTAAAGTTGGCATGGATCTCAAGAAAAGTTATCACATGGGTGTGGGACTTGACTTTTCTATAGATCCGTGCCAAAAATAATGGTGATCATTTGGGGTCCTACACATATGGGTGGGGGAGGGTCCTCTAGGATCATTTCTCTTTATTTTTTCTAGAAATCATATTAAGATGAAATTTAGGGGTGTGTAATTAGTTAGAGCTTTCATGTAAAATAAAAATAAAAATAAATAAAAATAGAATAACTAAAAGGGAAAAGTTTATATAAGGTTGCAACCTTAAAATGTAGAACTACATATGCACCTCAAAAATCCATTGAAAAATGTTATATTAATGTTGAAATCTAATTGATCTTCTTGACATCGAGATATATGAATATGAAAAAAAAAAAAAAAAAAGATTTTGAGTCCCAGATATAGTGCATCTTGTGACACATTATCTAGACCGTCTATTTTCAAGATTTTCATATGTTTATAGATCTACTTGATTTTTAATCATTTTTAGAGTTTAAAGTTTTACGATTAGATATGACAATAGATTTTCAAACAATCTTATGAATTTTTAACACAAAAAATATATGTTATGATAAAGTTCGAAGCTGTATGCATTTACAAAATACCGTCTCAATCATCCTATTTCATCAGATTCGGGATGTGATATGCAACCTTATTGAAACCACACCCTAACTAAAATACGCCAAAATATCTTGTCACCGTACCATTATAATATAATGAAACTACACTTCTTGAAAACCATGTTTTTCGTATTTGTATAACCCCAAAACATGTACAAATCTTCTCGTCATCGTAATAATCAGTTCCAAAAAAAAAAAACATCAATTTGCATTCTAGATATGGTCAAAATGGGTCCCCTTCGACAACAAATCTAGACTATTCATTTGGTGAATTCATCAAGATCTAGGCCTTTACAAACTCAAAATCTTTTTTTTTCCTTTTTTAACATAATTCATCTCATGATAATAAAGTCACCTAAAGAAATTGGAAAGGAAACAAATAATTCTAAAGCTTAAATCTAAGCATCTTATCAAAATGGATGGTCTATGTTACTAGGCTACAAAAACATTTTCTAAGTAGTGTTATCCAATTTTTCTTTTTTACCCTTTATGGAGATGACAAAAGTACCCTTTGTCTTGTACTAATATTTACAAAATTGCCTCATAAAAGTAACTTTTAAAAAAAAATAGATAACATAATTAATAAATCCACCCTTCACAACT